TAAGGCATGGTGATATTTGAATAGATTTGAATAAGGGGATTTACATTCAAAATGTGTTTGAATGTTTGTTCTATAGCAAACCATAAAGTGATCATAAAGTGTTATACCTGTGCTCAGCACTTTCCACACATTTATGTCAATGTGAACTCAAATTAAACAGAACTATTGCTGAAACATGATTTCAAATGGTGTCACTATAACATTAAGCTGATGGCAGCCTAAGGATTACTCACAATTTTACTGGTATTTTGCGTTACCTACATTAGAACGGCTAACAACAGTCTGCTTTGTTGTCCCCTCACCGTCTGCCTTTTTCTCCGTTGGCTTATCTCTTCATGTTTTATTTGTTTGTCCTTTCTTAGCTTTTATCCCCCCCACAGAGAATAATGAGTTAAGTTTTTGTGTGAGTGTTACTCGTTGTCAGTATTACTCTTTTCTTGATGCAACACACCTCAAATTCCAGCGCTGTGTATCTTGTCAGTATTGGCAGATAGTCTCCTGTCCACCCAAAACAGAAGAGGTGGAAAAACTGGATAGCCAGTGAAAAGCTGAAATGATAAGTGAATAATTGAATCTGCCCGTATTACAGTATAAATCCATATGTCAGTTTTAAGTGTAACTGAAAACCCATTTGTTTTGTTTCGATCCCAAGATGTTGCTGCCCCTCACTGAGGAGCATCCAAAGATCCTGTCAGACAAGCAGGCAGAGACGATTTTTGTTTTAATCTTGTTCCTTTTTCTCCTCTGTCTCCAAAAGAAGAAGAGAGAGAAACACCTCTCCACCACCTGTTACACCCACAGACTGAATCTCACAATCTCTGCAATGTCTTTATCCGCCTGCAGATGGTGCTATACCCTAGTCTTTAAGTCAAGGAGGGCCGTGTGAAAACAACAAGCAGAAAGAGTAGGTTTTATTTTGTGTGGTATGTAACATTATTAAGTTTTTTCCCCAAATGAACTTGAGTTCAGAAATGGTTAATGTCTTTGCTCTTAGACTTACTCTAAGAGTATTTAAAAGTAGAATGTTCCGGATATGCTAAATCATTTTACAGTGAAATTTGAATGTATTAAAAAAATAGTGATAAAGAAGGGAGATTTATTATTGTGAGGGGAAAACTGAAAAATGAAATGGTCACACTACTTAATGTGTACGCTCCACCTAATAGTTCAAAACAATTCTTCAAAACATTATTCGATACCATTATTTTAGAAACGGATGGAATACTAATATGTGGGGGTGACTTTAATATTGTGATGAACAGTAACGTAGATACAACTAATAAGAATAAGCATACCAACCAGGTTATGAGAACGGTCAAGAGAATATTTAAAGAATACGGGATAGTTGATATGTGGAGGGAGTTTCACCCCTCTAAAAAAGACTATACACACTATTCCCCCCCACAATAGTTATGCTAGAATCGATTACTTCTTCATGAATAATAATGATTTAAATAGGGTAAAAGAGTGTGAAATTCAACAAGCAGATGTATCTGACCACTGTGCAATCTACCTTATAGTTAATTTGAAAGTACAGGAGAAAAATACATTATGGAGGCTAAATGTGGGAATATTAAATAATAAGTCTAATATGGAGGAACTAAAGAAGTTTAGTAAATTAAAAAAAAACAGAGAGGAGGTGTACAAAAAAGAGAAGCAGAACCTTTTTTTTTTAACTGAAAAACAACACAAGACCACACAAGACCCTTCACTGCTTCCAAAAATTAAAGAAATTAGGGATGAAATAGATAAAATATTAGCCACAGCCTTGTGCTTTGCACTGGGGAGAGGGGGGAGGGGTGGTAGTTACACTGGCAGTAGCACAGGAACAGAGCGGGAAGGAGAGAGAGAGAGAAAGAGAGCCAGGGACAACAACGTCTCATTAGAAAGTAATCATCCACAACTATTTTCAGTTGAGGATGATAAAGGATTCAGAAAGTTTATTCATGCAGGTCCAAATGACAGAGAATGTTCATGTTCTTTTTATCTTCATATTTTAATTTATATTTAATTATGTTGTGGTTTGCAATGTTTTGTGTAGTTTCACTTTAAATTTGTTTAAAAGGAAAAAGCAGAAAAATTAAATAGTTAAAAGTTGAAATGTGAATAGTTAGTTTTTGTATTATATGATTTATTTATTACATTTTATGTGGAGTGAATAAATAAAAGTATATTTACGGTGGCCCCTACAGACAAAGCAAGTACAAACTCTGAAGCACGTACAAACTCCAAAACACGTACAAACTCCAAAACACGTAAAAACTCCAAAACACAACAGAAGTGCTCCAGGATGCTAGGCAAAGTGTTGAACTTTTGTTACCTAGTGGAGGTAGGAGCCAGGAAGTACCAACAACCAGATTTGGTGTGTGGTAGTAACAGGTAAATGAACATTTTTTAAATTATTTGAATATATATGAGTCCTTGTGTATAAATACACAAACAATACATATATGCTTTCAATTGTGTAATTTAAGTGATCTAGGTAGCTCTGTTTTGGAAGTTCAGTTAATGCTAGAAATGTGTTTTGGAGTTTGTATGTGCTTTTTGGAGTTTGTACATGCTTTGGAGTTTTTACGTGCTTTGTCTCTAGGGGCCACCGTATATATTTTTTTATATAAACTGTAGAAATGTTTAGCTTATTTTAGAGTTTAGAAATGTGTTAACATAGAATGTAGAATTATTGTAGAGACACTGACACTGCCCTCCATGTAATAAAGGCCTGACTGTCATGAACTTAGAAGTAGATTGTAGAAGACCCCTCCCCCAGTTGAACTGTGAAAGGTCTCAACATTTGTAACTGGACAACTGTGGTCTGGAAGGGAGATGGGTTTTATGACCTCTAGGGAGTCACCTACACCCACAGCGTTTTAACTGTCACGTACACTCACTCACGTGCACGTGTTTATGATGGGGACGCCTCTATAAAGCTGGCTGTAACTAACAAAGGGGTGAAGATTTTGTAGAGGGATCCACCGGCCTCGTCTTCCCTTCTAGAAGTGCATGCTTAAATGAAGACGAACAAAGATGAATAAAGGTTTTGTGAAATAACTACTGAGTTCCGGTGCCGTCTCTGAATGCCTCGACGAATAAAAGAACAGGGGTAAAACTGATTTTGCTACAAAACATATATAAATAAAACCACTTTTTTTTACATTAGTAATTCCCTTTGTGCATAGTTTTATATTGTTGTTAATAATAAATTAATTACAGCAACAAAATAACCTGAAGAGCTGGTTGGGAGCCCAAAGTGTCACGGCTGGGGCAGCAGTCGTGTGGTTGAATGAATGAGGATCCAAGATGCAGATGGCAGTGGAGATACGAGTGGAGTCTTATTTACAATGAAAAATAACAAAAGTGAGGGCAGAACTGAACATAAACCTGAACTGGGCAAAACTAACAAACAAACCAGATAACATAATGACACCTAAACCTACTTTAAGTAGTAGTTTGGGACCACGACGGCACAATCCACTAGTCTGAGCCTCATCAGGAGGTGGTTCTGTGACAAGAGCTTCAAGTTTCTCAAGATCAGTTGCACATTTAATTATTAAATGCTGTGCTACTTCCACTTGGCACTCAAGATTTCCTAAAGCTTTCCTGATATTCAGTCTCTTTCTTTGTTTATTTCACACCTTGTCAACCTTGTCCAGCTGAGCAACAATCATTCTGTGCCATCTGACTTGTATTTTCCTGCATTCTTGTCTCTCATTCTGGTCTTCTTCTCGCTGTATTTTCTGTTAAGGCTCAGCTATTCCTCTCCACTGACTCAAACGTTCTGTGCAACTGCTGCAGAGGTTCATTTTCCTTTTACTTCCTTCTGAGCAGATCTTTAAAATCTTGGGCCGTCTGTCTTACAATTTCAATTTTGTTATCAATCACAGGTTTGAGGAGAGGCTTGATCTTCCGCAACAGGAACTTCAAGATACTGAGGTTCAGGAGAAATATTCTCCAGGTGCAGAGGCTCATGGTGCCATGCTTCTTCCACTTGGCTCTCAAGATTTTCTATAGCATTCCTGAGATTCGAGTTCTTTCTTTTCTTCATCTGTCTCACTTTCAACCTTGTCCAGCTCGGCAACAATCCTTCTGTTCTGCTCAAAGAGAATCTCTTGCTTTCCCTCAAGCTCCATCTCAATTGTTTTTCCTGCATTCTTGTCTCTCTCAGCGCACCACAACGAGACCAACCACTAGTCTGAGCCTTGTCAGCACATTCATTTTCCTTTTGCTTCCTTCTGAGCAGATCTTTAAAATCTTGGGCGTGTCAAAAGAAAAAAACCTTCCAATGGTTCCAACGGTGCCAATGAAGGCTCTCCCAATGGGCTTCACCACACCGTGCCTTTAAATGAATGTACTTTAATCATGAAAAACAAGGACTTTCAAACCCAGCCCAAACTATTGAACAAGAGTGTATATTGTATGTTTGTATCTGACTGTATCTGATTAAGATGTCATCATTTTGAAACAAAGACTCATATAATACAAAGTATTAGTACTTTAAATGTTT